AGAGGTTGAAGTTTGAATACAAATCGCCACAAGATTTGGACATGGAAATAAGGAATGAAGAAATCAATGAACTCCAACTTGAAGTTCAACATGCAGAGTCCTCATTCATGGAGTTAAATAAACAATACAGTGTGTCGATAACAACCCTCCGCGACCCAACCAAAAAACGATGTGGATCTTGTGATCTTGTCGGTGATCACAATCGCAAAAACTGTATGAACGAGCGTTGTGTCTGAACCAAGATTTATGGCGATATCAACCACCCTCAACACGCAGATGAACGCGCAGCATTAATTAAATCAGCAAAGGTTCGTGACGATTTGAAAAAAAAAATAAAAGCAAAAGAAGATGAACCGGCCGCGGTTATTGAAAACGTACGCCCTACTGCAGGGAACACTGCTCTCGGTACCTCGCCGGTATTCATATTACCACCACTCTCCACGATTTACTTCATGATTATTTGAGATAAATCATCGCTGAGTGACGTTCCCTTCTGGTAGGGTCTGTTGTGACAATTATAGTTTGCCATAACCATTATTACATCGGAATCTGAAACACTGACACGGACGGCGGGCACGATCGGTCTTTCGTGTCCACGTAGTTTGTAGTAAAGACGCCAAGTAACATTTTGGTTACAATTATAAAGAGTGCAACCTGATTTGTCTCAATGTTTGGCTGTCGAATAATGCTACATTCATGCATCTAACTACCAAATCGAAACACTATTTTTAAAAAAACCTGTAAAACAAGACTGCTGAGATGGTTCATCATCTCTACCAACTCAACTCGACCCCTGTATTATAACTTTCAATATCGAAAGAGAGGGATCTAAATGGAGTACATGAGTTGTTTTGATAAAAATGCCCATACCAAAGGCTGTGTGGCAACATATTAATCCCAAACTTTAGTTGGACACTTCAGCTATTTCTTTTGGATGCGATTCTTGTACAATACTGCCAGTTTCCCTATAGTACATTCGAATATAAAAAACTAACTGGGAATACTCCTCTTTGAAATAATGATAAAAAGCTAATGAACAATAAATAATTGTCTGTGGGAAAGTATCTTTCTCTTCTCTTAGTTTGTCAACCATCCAATAAAATATGGATGTACTGTCCCTATGAGTCTTTACGACTGACAATCCAATGTTCCCTATTTGGGCAAATGTTTATAGTCTTACAATCTGGAATAATGTAATGAGGCTGTCTTTTAACTGGGACTGTAGAGACTTTGAGGCAGTTGTGGTCAGTGCAAGGACTGTAACATCAGGTAAAACAGCGTAGTTCCCCAACATGCTAGACAAAATTCTTGAATGCACTTTGTTGCGTCGTGCGCCTGCTTTTTTGGCCGTCATCTAGTTTTTCACCCCTACAAAAAGATCACAGAAATTATCATTTGAAGGTGAACGTGTACAAGTTAGGACTCCAAATCTAATCATTTCCTGATTTTGAAAAAAAATCTCTAATAAAATGTGTACACTGAAATTTTGTTAGAATGAGCACTTTTATAATGAATTGCCCAAATAACTTAATGAACCAACACAGCTCTGTACACATGCAGTAGTGGGGGAATATGTTCACATATATCCTACATTAAAAATATTGTATCAGAAAATATGAAATGATGAGTGGCTAAGCCACTTGTAAACCGCATTCCATCGACCATTCAACATGAACTTCTTCAATTTATAACACACATAATGCAAACTATGATTTTAATATTGAGTGGAAATCTTACCTGAACTTTCATTAATGAAACCACAGGAGAAACTATGATAACAGAACCTGGTTCCTGAATCATACTTGGGTAGCTTAGTGATTTAACCAAATCCAGTTGGCAGAATGGCTAGGACATTGTTTTTAGATAACAGATGCCTGTGTTAATGCCTCCTTCTTGCACCTTAAAGAAAAATTTAATATATCGCAATAAAAAAAATGACTCGGCAAATACATGATTCACGTTACTTGTTCATGCATATAGGTCACAGTCACGGCATGAAGACAAAACTGTTACTGTTACTCACAGGCGCTCGGACCGTTTAACGGTTAAGACTGGAGTGGGGGATGTCGTTGAAAGGACAAATACGAAAATTACTGAAAGCCACAGGGTTAGGCTCACAAAAACATTGCCTGGTCGTAATACATTAACTCATAATGCAATAGTTAGATCGTGATGACTGTATCAGTAAAGTCGAAACAACATGCACGCATGGCTTACATTGCGTCGAATGCGACTCATTAACATGGTCGAGTAACGCCACCTCACCTGTGGCAATACAAGGTCATCAAAGTTGAAATCCGAATTATCTCAAATGAATTACATACATCAATCGTGATTGCTCACAAAAGATAATTAAGTTTTTGTAAAAGTGACTAAAACTCACCTCAAATTCGGAATCCTCTATTGATTTCACATCGGTTCTAATATTACCTGCAGCCATCTTGAAATAACCAGGAACGATGAGTCTGGCGCATGCGCAAAGTCAGATAGCTATTTTTATAAGCCGCACTATGATTGGTCGACAAAACTCGTCGAAAACTGATCTCGTTGTACGAGATTTGTATAGGCCATTCTCTTTCACAAATACACTCTACATAATATGTGATATACAAAACCCGCAAAATACGTAACAAAACAGTGCCGTCACAAGTAAGTCAACGACTCTCATGATTTGTTGGTAGACGAACTGCGCAATCGCTGGCAAAACGCACGGCAAGCACGTCTAAACATCAAACGAAATCGCTACGCAATCCTAGTTTTTACTCCAATGAGATCAGTTACATGAATATTGCCGCGTGTCGTCTTCCCTTGACAAGTTATTGGCGTAAATCAGATAAATCCAGGAGACAAGTACCCGGATGCAATCTGCTTAAAATCTGATGTAGTGTACGGGTTTTAATTATTTTGCCTATAAACTTATTTTAATTTTATTTTTTATTACTTTTGTTATTAATGCCCTTTTATTTTATTATTTTACTTTGATTTTGATTTTGTGATTTTTTTTAATTCCGCCCTACCTAAATCTGACCCGATGCCTATGTAACGAGATTTCAACGAGACCCACTATCGACGATTTTAGTCAACGAATCACAGACCTCCTTCTATAGCGCACATGATGACGTCACCG